ATGAAATCAGCTGTCATATGAAATCAGCCGTGTGACATGAAATCAGCTGTCATATTAAATCAGCCGTGTGATATGAAATCAGCTGTGTGATATGAAATCAGCTGTCACATGAATTCAGCTGTGTGATATGAAATCAGCTGTGTGATATGAAATCAGCTGTGTGACATGATATCAGCTGATATGAAATCAGCTGTGTGACATGAAATCAGCTGATATGAAATCAGCTGTCATATGAAATCAGCTGATATGAAACCTTGCTGTGATGCTGACTTGCTAAACCAGGCATTAAATCAAAACAGCAGAATTTCAGGATTTGCTTTGGTTTGTTTTTTGGAGCAGTACGACTATAAAACTACAGGAATCTTAAAAAGCTGCAAATGAAAGGAAGGTTGACGTCGCTTAATGTGCACCACAAAACAACAGTCGCTCTCATCCTCAGCAAATTAATATATTTGTCATCCATCAGTCAGATCTTTTAATCCAGACTCCAGGAATTAAAAGCTTGGATTAAAGCGTGAAGTGATGAAGATTTGCCATTCACATGTTTGCAGCGTTTCCTTCCACTCCAGAGTAAATAGCGCTTGTTTGTTGTCCTTCTGTGCTGAGTGAGGAAGGCTCCCACAGACAATAAGCTGCTCACAGGCTGATGACTAAGGAAGGCAACCCGCCGCGGAGTCGTTATGGCAACACAAGTTTGCCAAATAGACTGTGCTGAAATTGGACAAGTGTGAACGCACAATCAATACCCCCCTCCCCCCGCTCCCATATGACATTTTAGGCATAGGACCTTTGCAGTGAGCTCTGTGCACGGTGGACAGGTTGTCGTGCGGCGAGGTCAGTTTCAGGCAGCCTCAGCACCTTTACGCAGGTCCACCAATCAATAGCAGGACATCCTGAGTCCACTGAGCTCCTCGTGCTGCACACCGTCCACTAGTGAGGATAAAAAAATAAACAGCCATCTGTTTCTACAGCTGTCTGAAATGTATACTTTATTTATTCAGCTCAGAAAAGTTGACCAAGAGGAGCATGGACAGACATGACCTACTGACAGAATACTGCACGGTGAACGTTCTAGAAGGTCTCTGGTCTGGACTAAGACGAGTAGCAACGAGTATGAAGTGAAAACAGAATGCTGACAAACAGTACCAGTTCTTCTTGTTGTTTTCTTCTAATTAATTTCAACTTAATCACAATTATTTACTCAAGCAAAGAGTCGCAGGAGCACCCAGGTGTGCTCACCAGGTGCAGAGGGACAGACGGACAGACGATGAGCTTTGGTGTGGAGCCGACGCGAGCTGGACAGACCCTGCTGCTTCTGGGCACTTATTTCCTAACGAGACAAACTGCTGGCATGGCCGTGGGTCACGTCTGATCAAACTGTTCTCATTTTTCAATAAATACGCAGCAGCCACATCAGGAACAGAAGACGCACAACGCTAACAATACAAACGACATTAAACAATGGAGTACACGGTGAAGAAGGGGGTCCTGCTACAGGCCCAGCGTCACCTGTTGCCATGAGACACGGTTCTATTATTACTGCTCTGAGCAGGTACTGCAGGTGTACCTGTACATACATGTGCAAATCATCATGATTGTCTGATCGACAAATACAATTTGGTAACAGAAATCCATACAAACCCTTTTAATTCCCCCTTTATACTAAAGTACGGCACATGCTAGTGTCCACAGCGACGCATCAGGGAGGTGGTCCGGTAGTCGTCCCTCCTTAAAGCGCCGTTATTCTGTCAGATGTTTGTGTCAAATGGAGATGATGGTACCAGAGATCTCTGAAAACCACCGAATCAAGAGCATGTTTTCATGAACAATGAGGGTTCTGGTGGAGAACACGGTTCCTTCCCACTGCTGAGTGCTCGTGTTTGTAAGGCAAGAGGCCACGTCGTCCACGTTCAGTCGACGATGGCAGAGAGCAGCGCCATGGTAGCCACGCCACAGAAGATGAGCAGGATCTGCAGCAGGGAGTGCCTGGAAGACACAACAAGGGTTACACATTCAGACCCGGGCATTAAAGGAAACCGCCATCTGCTCGCTTTCACACCACAGAGCTCATCGTGCCTTTTCAATTTATTTCTCACCAAGTTCTGTTCGACTGCGGCCGTCGCACATAGCCCCCACAGCTGAACTCCACCCAGCAGAACCGGGTCTCCAGCAGAGGTCTGGCTGCTAGCGATGCCACGGGGCCGTATTTGGGTTTTATTTTTACTGCGAGCACACGCGAGGAAGTGTGGTTCTGATCCTGCTGGTGTACCGCTACTCCTGAACTGATGTGACCATTAGGGCTCAACAATCAGTCGAACACAACCAGGTGCAACATCCGGATCACAGGAGCTTCAGTGTTCTGATAAAAACTAAAAGTGTCACCTCCTACAACCAGAAGCCGGCTGTGTGGCCACAAAACACACTCTCTGGACACAAAGCTTGTTTAGGACGGACCACAGCAAAAATGCTAAAGTGACCCGTTCCCACTAAAGATGTGACTCATGGTGCTACTGCATTATCTGCCAGAACCATCACAGAACAGGTTTAATGAATACCATTCAGTACCAGTCTCCTCCAGAAGCCGAGTAACGGACGGAGTCAGCTGCTACACATGCAGATTCAATGTGAGTTGAGTGAGAATTCATTCTTTGAAAATGGTTTTTCAAAATCTTTTAAATTGGAAATGAACTGAACGTGCAACAGTGCATCTAGAGTGTTCAGAACCGCACCTTAAACTGGACTCCTCCAGCAGGTCGGGCACCACGTTCACCAGGGCGATGTAGAGGAAGCCTCCAGAAGTGAACGGCAATATCCAGCTGCTGACGTTCTCTAGAAACGCCGTGAAAACACTCGTGAGTGACTGTGTGACTGAGAAACGGCCTCCAGGCAGCGATAATCTGTTCAGCTGTGTGTTTGCTGGTCCCATCCTACCTGAGCCTTTTGGTGACTGAGCGCACAGAGCGAAGCAGGCTCCCAGAACCCCGACCAGCGCCGTAGACAGCTGCATGCGAGCAGCACTCCATCGATCGAACCCGGCCCGCAGCAGAATGGCAAAGTCTCCCACCTGCAGACGGAGGAACGGCTCAACATGCAGCGTACGTTCAGACAGCAGAGATTCCTGCAAACATCAACCTGATACCATATCATACGATTTAGGAAGAGCTCTGTCGTCTCACCTCATGGGGGATTTCGTGGAGCAGGATGGCGAAGGTGGTGAGAAAGCCAACCTGCAAGAAACGTCTCGTTAGTGCCGCTTTGTCTGAAGGAGAGTCCCACGTAAAGCAGTGGAGACGTCCACACGTCCCATCAGGTGTAGGACCAGAGGGGTTAGCACAGGTCTGACAGAGGCCAGGTCAAGTCAATGAGCCAGCCCAGGCAGCTGTATGAACCGTCTAATGAACTAACTGAAGCTCTTTTTAACCCTACAAAAAGGGAATAATGGTCACGAGTGATCATGTGGACGAATGAGTTTTGCTCCCAAAATATTTGAACCTTTTTGGTAAAACAAGCTTTCAGGAGTTCAACGTGTCTGAGACGACAACCACAGAGTCCAGTCCAGTGAATGAGTCTCTAACATCTCCTGACATCAGGTTAAACTTAAAACCAAGCAGCCTAACGTGATGATGAACAGATGAGTGTTTATCTGAGCAGCAGGGACACAAAGCAGCTAAAACAAGACTTTAGTCATCAAATAAACAAGATAAAGAGAATTTACCTGAACAAGGTAAAGTGACTGAGACTGTGGCTGCCGTGTCTTTTTTTAAATGTATTATTTTTTCATTTTGCTCGTATTTACAGTTGTCCTTTATTTCTAATTCAGTCTGATTGATTGTTGTTCTGCTGCTCCTGGTCCTTCCTGTAATGAGTCGGGGCATTCTGGGTTTTGCATCCTCTCTTGTTTTTAACTCCATTTCACTCCTCTCTGTCTCTCTGGTGCCTCTGGTTCTGTCGGGCTCACCCTAACCCTTCTCCTGGCTTCCTGCTGCAGTGCTGTCTTACTCTCCTCTCTCTGGGCTCGTCCATCACAGCACTGTGTAAACTTTAAACGGACCTATAAGCAGAGTTATTATTATAATAAAGCACATCAAGCCAGGTTCCTACCAGCAGCGACCATCTGCCTTTAGTTTGGTCTGAGGGGATATTCACACATTCATATGATTCTGATTTCATAACAACGTTCTGTATCGGGTCTGTTCATCGGTCCTTCAGAACCAACACCGTGAACTCATTCATGTTTAATCGGTACAGAACTTCTTCCTACCACATTTCGAGGTGGCAAAAACGACACAGTGATAAATGCACAATGAGTAAACAGAAAACACTGGTGAGATGTCTTGTATGTGCATGTTTGAGACATCTAGCTAACTTCCTCTCTGGCACACTGGTCCATAGTTCACGCTGCTAGCCTTATGTCTCTCCAGCTGGACTCTCTTCCCACAGCTACACATATACAGTAACCCAGTGAAGCGGGACAAATCCGAGCTACTGCAGGCTGAAGTGAACATTTTCAGCAAGCACAAAAAAAACAGGGAAAAGGTTGAAACTCAAAGAGAACGTTGCATCCTGTGATGAGTTCCCACTGAGCGGTCTTTCTAAGACAGTGGGAACGCTGATACAACAGGTCTGCAGCTCTGCCAGTGAGCCTGTACACGCTGCCAAACGCTGTACTCACAGGGGAGGTGTTATATGTCTAAATTCCCCATATTTCAGTCCTTTGCTTTCATTAAGCATCGCAGCACTTTGCTTTGATCGCCGTGCAGCTCTCCTACAGTACTTAATATTCAACCTTTCAAAGTGCAAACAACCAGATTTGCATTCACACATAGTCACGCTCGCTGGACATTGTGTTTGTTATTCAGGCTGACGTCTTCTTGTTCGCCACTCTCTCCCTCTCATGCCAGGACTGGAGATGTTACTCACTGACCACTGGTGTCCGGTGCAGCTCGAGGTATCTCACTACGTCACCACATCAGAGCGCATGTTCAGCTCGCCTGGCGGTCAATAACAAACTCAGCTCTGTGGTTTGTGTTCCACATATCTCAATGTGCAGCGTGTTGACATAAGAGACATTCCAGCATCAGCTGAAGGACTATCTTCAGCAGCAGTGAATGTGGGTTTGAGCCAGTCTGGTCTGCAGCCACAGCCAGCACCTGCAATTACAGTTTATGGAAACCAGAAGGCCTCGTATAAACGTGTGAGCGTCGCCACGTTTCTCACACAAGTCGCTGACCTGCTGCCGGGGTGGCTGTGGCTCCGGCAGACAACAGGGTGGACACTCATCACAGGGTTGTCAGCTCAGTCCCTCCTGGCCGCCTGCCGAAGTGTCCTTGGGCAACACGCTTAGCACCAAGCTGCCTCTCCTCCGGCTCATGGCGGCTTTGTCGTGGCGTTGTGTGAGTGACTGTGTGCATGTGCATGAGCGGCGCAATGGAAACTGCTTTGTAGCCTCATAAAGGGCATCGAGGCCACTGGGTGACCGATTAGAAGGTTGAGGGTTCAAGCTGCCTCCGCTGTGCCCTTCAGCAAGGCCCTAACCCTGTGTCTGCTATGGCTGCCACTGGGACTCCAGCTGCTGAACAGGTTGGGATACTTCCTGTTTAGAAGTGAACATCCAGATCCAAGGTGCAGGACGCTGTCTCTGTTTCACTTCACTGGTTTGTCCTTAAAGCAGGTACGAGACATGAAACTGACTGACTGCATAACTAGATGTGCTGCAGTCCACCACTGTCCACATCTGACGGTCACATTTATCGACTGGCACTGAGCAGGTTTGTATTTTAAGCTGTTCCACTCTTTCAAACCTCTCTCGACTGTACTGGTCCCCAAAAGAAAAGTGAAGACGAGTATCTGAGCTGGACAAGGCGATCAGGAACCCACCACCTACTGCTCATGACATGTAGCACAGATTAAACTCTCACATTCATGTTTGTGTGTAGACCACATGTGGATGAGAAAGACGCTCCAACATTACAGCTGTTGGTCTTGTTAGCGTGGAGGCTATCACAGTTCCTCACCTTCTTGCTGACCAAGAAGCTCCCAGCTACTGCCAGTCCATGAGTGAAGTTGTCGATGCAGTTAGCCAGCAGGTTCAGGTACCCGCTGGTCTGTGACACACAAAGAATAACGTTACTCACATCAGCCCAGGTCAGAGTCAGAACCGAGGAAACAACAAGAACATCATCAGTCAGAGAACGTCTTTGAAATGATGCTGAGCTCACTGAGCTGCACCTCAACGTCCACGTACAGGTCGTCATCTGAATTAAGTCTTATCATGTTAATTATGTTCAGTTCTGAAGTCAGAACCCGTTAAAATCAGGGCTAGGGTTAACTTCATGACGTATGGTTGATTCAGCTCATCTCCAAACTGTGTGTTCGTTGACTCTGTACCGAGTCAGACCCTCGTCCTGTCCTCTCTGCACTGAATCCAGCTCATGTTGTCATTTCCAAACTCCAGCTCTGTGTCTCTGTGTCACCTAGCAATAGCATTAGCTCAGCTACTCGTTCAGCATCTTCCAGATTCACGGTCTTGGTCACTGCGTCCTGCTTCCTGTTTCCTGCTTCCTGTCTGGGTTTAACTTGAGAACAGACACTAAATGGTTGATAACATGAATGCATTCATCACTCGTCCATAAACGGACATCTAGATAACGATTCAGATGGAACTCACTCATTTCTTCTGATACCAAAATGAAAGACTTCAAATGAAAAGTGAAGCAGCATCACGTCCACGTGCTGCATCATCAAATCAAATCAAACTTGATTTATACAGCACTTTTCATACGGTACAGCAGCACAAAGCGCTTCACAGCATTTAAAAACATTACAACATTTAAGAGTCTTATCATCAGCAGAGTTAACGTTTTGACTGCTAATCGTACTATAAATGCTGCTCGTCTTTCTGCTGCTGCTTCTTGTCACAAGCTTGGTTGAATAAACCAGTGTGTGACTCCACAGATGCTACGAGTCACTGCAGAAGGCTTCAGAGAAGCCGTGTTGGTGGCTGAGTGCAGTGAGCAGGTCACTGATGCTGTCGGTGTGCTGCCACCTCGTTATCCCAACACATGCTCATAAATACATGCTACAGTTTGCACACGTCTATTTCAGTCCCAAATGCAAGAGAAATGCTTCTGCTGTGGAGCCCTGAAGTAAGTTGCTGTTCATGACTCAGTTTGGAGGTCTGAAGCATGTCTTACATAAGCAGCCCATGTCAGCTGTTTACCCCCAGTGGTGCCCCCCTCGTCATCACTTCTGTCTTTGTGTGAGCTGCCATGTCTTTTGGTTGTCAGCATTACCTTGATTTTCTCTGATCTTTCCTGCAGACTCTGTTGCTTGGAGGATTTCCATGACTCAGCGTGGTGCCCGTTTCTGAGCGGCACCACTGGCTTCCCACCGAAAACTGAATTAGCCTGCGTCTGAGGAGGAAAACAGGAAGAAGAACGAGGCAAACATGAACATGCTGTCCCCACCTGCTTTATATGTACATGTTCTTTTTTTGAATGAGTGAATCATCTCTATGCTCCTCTTACTCACAGGAGCATCTTCCTCATGCCACCATACTGCTGGCCCTGGCCACTCACACCAGTCCAGCTAAAGGCAGTAAGTTAATGGTAATGCCTGAACCCCACAGTGCAGTAAATGGGCATTTGACTGCTGCTCCCGCTGTGTGTCAGAGGGTTCAGAGCAGCTGCTGAAACCTTCTCATTATTTTGCTGCCTTCCTACATGTGCAGTAATCAGCAGCCGTTTGTACTTGTGCTCTGCTTTCAGACGTAACAGACGACCCTTAAACCTCAGCGCTGTTCAACATGTTTACTGTTTACGCCGCAGAAGAGAGCCGCTCATCTCACGCTGCAGCCTCTGTTTTCCGAGAACAGTCAACTTCTCTGTTCCGTCCTTCAGAAACCACTTATGCTGCCATTTGCACTGATGGTCAAATTAAGCGTGAGGGAAATAGCCTCCTGTCTCTGGAAACGTTTGCTCCACGTCTATGATTAGAGCATGAGGAAGTAATAAAGCGTGATGAATTTTCAGGGCTATCAATCTCCTCCAACTGATTGGAGACAAATTGTCATTGCACAACACAGTGTGAGCTTGTTTCATTACCAATTCAAAACGGGCTGAAGTGAGAACGTAATAGAATATCATCTTCACATTTCACATTAAGCGCTGCAGCTCTCCACGCATGACACATCCATTGGAAAAAACACTGACCCACTTCCATTGAAGCTGGTTACAGTTCCTGCATCTTTCCATCCTGACAGTATTTTCAGAGAACACACTTGAGCCTCCCTCTCTGTCTCTCACATGCAGCGTCACACTCTGTCTATTGTGCCTCCGTCTATAAGCCCCGGGTTCTCCTGTGGACACTGAAATGGCTAAAGCAGCTGCTTCACCCCAGCACTATAAATAGACTCTGGTGGAGGAGCTGAGCCGTGGATTCCAATCTTCTCCCTCAATGGCATTAGAGAGACAGGAGGGAGGATGAGGCCGCCTTTACAAACACCCTGCAACCAGCCGCTCACTGTCTACACAGAAGAAATGCGCCTTTCTGAAATGGGCCAATTGCGGCTTGCGGCGTGAGTGACTGATTGAAATCATTCGTCACAGAAGGAACGGGGTGTGTCGACGGATTCACAGCCGACTCCTGGTTCAGCTGCAACCACTCAACAGCAATCCAGATATATGAGACAATCTAAACTAATATTAAACCCATAGGCTAACATTTAATGTTGATTTGCATAGTGTCGCTGTAACCGTCAGAAAACCGCCGGAGTGAAGCCGAGGAGCTCACACACAAACACAATGTCACCGTTTTGGAAAAGATGACAGCTAAACGATGCCTTCACTGAACAGAGTGGTGTGTGTGTGTGTGTGTGTGTGTGTGTGTGTGTGTGTGTGTGTGTGTGTGTGTGTGTGTGTGTGTGTGTGCGTGTGTGTGTGTGAGGATGAGGAGCAGAACTGATGCTAACTCAGACAGCCACTGCGAGAAAATCAAACAGAAAGTCGGCATGTATTAGTCCCTCACTTTGAAGCAACCATCAGGCTGAAAACTCTGCTGCTGATCACTGACGACAGTCCACAGAACAACGTCGTGCGGGCCAGTGGGACGTTCATGGACAGTTTGAAGGAGCTGCTGTGAATTCAGCAGCGCTCCATGACTAAGGAAGCATACGGTTGTGAAACAGCCAAACAAAAAACAACTGTTGGCCAAAACACGAGGACCACTCATCTAAACACCTTTAGACCCGGCGAGTGTGAGATAAACGAGAACAGACACGGCGACTCCTTCCTCTACAGATAACAAGCTTCTACTCTGATGCCATTTAGAACAATGGTCTCATTCTGGCACTGGGTGCCTTTGTTTTATGTGATCCATGTTAATAATTTTACTAAACTCCTGCTGTCCTCTTTGGGTGACATACATGCTCATCAATCAGAACTGGCCCACAGTGCATGTAAACACACTCACCAGCACTAAAGCCAAGAAGACGTTATGCTCATGGTGCAGAACATGGCCTCCACTGAGTCCGAAGCTCTACCAGACCATTGAGTCTTGGAGAAAAGGAGCAACAAGGTGCAACAAAAGAAGGTGTTGTGAAGGTGTCGTAACCCAGTCCAGCAAAAAACCCGTGGTCTCGTTTTACTATGAACCAATGAAGGCCAAAGCGTACTGACCAACTAAAGCCAGACACAGACAGCCCTAAACCCCTGACATGCCTACTTCAGCTCACGGTGTGTAGAACATGGGAGATGCTGAGATGGACACCGTGAGCCATCCTGAGCAGCTACGGTACTCACCCCCTGTGGTAGGGCTCCAATACATGTTTTAAATACATGACACAGTGAAGACTGAACCGACGCTGGACTAAAGGTTTGAGTCAAACCAAAAAGCAACGTGTCAGAAACCGTGCAGTTAGATGTTCTCCTCACATCGCTCAGCCCGACAGCAAACACTGAGCCTCACGCGGGTCAAGCTGTGTGCTGATCAGCTTCATATGTATTTGCAGTAAAAAGGAATCATTTAAATTTCTGGAGAAAACACTCCTTCTGGTTTCATACTTGGATAAGAAGACTGATGCTACTCTCGTCCACGTATGGTAAATACGTACAGAGCCAGCACCGCTCAGCTTGGCATAAACACTGGAAATAGGGGAAGCCACTACTCTGGCTCTGTCCAACTGGAAAAAATCAGCAGCCGCTACGTCCAAGGCTCACTAATTAAAATATTAACATCTTGCCTGTTTCAACCATACAGAAACCAAAGCACAGCACCGGTGCACTGGGCTTCTACTGGAGCTGCGTGACAGACTATATCTTGATGACTAAACATGGGAGTAATATAAATCTATTTGTACAAGAAAGTCAATCAACATATTTACCAAAATGTGCACCTATGGCTGTAGGTTCCTGGTCGTACAGAAGTAATCTGATGCTCCACTCATCCAACGCCACTGACAGAAATATGCAGACCAAGCACAGAGGCAGCCTGCACGACGCATACCGACGAGAAAAAAAATGTGTGAAGGCTTGTACTGACGTGTGTGTGTGTGTGTGTGTGTGTATGTGTGTGTGTGTGTGTGTGTGTGTGTGTGTGTGTGTGTGCAGTGAGACGCCCATGAGCAGCAGTGAGCAGAAAAAAACCCGATTTCACCAGAAACACGTACAGCCGAGTTAAAGTTTAGGTCTGACTCTGAAGCGGGATCCTCAGCGCCGTCCTGGTCTGGAAACATCTTCTCCAGGAGCAGAAAGGCCAGCAGACCGATGATTACCCACAAGCCCTGGGTGGTGTAGTGGTTTTGTTTACCAGCTGAAGGGGGAGCAGACAGATTGCATAAAGACAAACACAGAAAGCGTCAGGTGGGCTATAGCATAATCACATTACTATGGGAGACAGACATTAGCATCTCTGCTAACTAAAGCCAAGCAAAACATCATGTCCTTTCTTTTCACCTGGTGTGTGTGATGCTACAGGATCATAGTGATCTTAGCAGTAATGTAGTACACAGCTAACTGAGCAAATAAACTGCTGCATGAAACCGAAAATCCTCAGTGTGTAGAGTCTGTGAGAGAGCAGACTGCTGGACTGTAATAGTAAAACACCCTCTGTTCTGTTGTGTATGAGAGACATGAGTGGGTCAAACAGCTTTCAGTACAGAGGTAGGGATGGCATTGGTGGATAGCAGACCCACCTGAAGAGCCAGAGAGCGCCCACGCCTCAGGAAGGAGGTGAAGGAACACATCACCGAGGAGACCACCAATAGCAAAGCTCAGGAGCTGCTTCAGCTTCTGGCACCCAGCTGACAGGACACAAACAAGGTACCAATTACTGTAAAGTATGATTAGTCATGGGATCTTTCATGTTGGTCTGAGATCAGAGCCACAAATAACTGATGAAACATGTACAGCTCTAAAGCCTAACCTCCACAAATGAGCTGATCATGTCAACATGAACACGTCCCGGGCTCGCCCTACTGGTGTCCACTGGGATTACTCATGCTCACGTTTTATTGTGGAGGAGGTCCCCTAGTAATGACTAACCTCTGGTCAAGACTGCACTTGACAACCCACAGCCTGAAATACATGTGGACTGCCACGTCCCTCAGGGTGGAGCCCCTGAACAGGCCTCCAGTCTCCGGCTGACCTACGGTAACGGAGGCCTGACTACTAAAGCCTGATAGTGGCAACAGGATTCAGACACAGCGCATTTTAACTGTTGTCCAAATGCTGCAGCACATGCATGAGGGTGGCAGGTGGAGCAGTGGGTGGAGCAGTGGGTGGCGCTGCCGCCTCACGGCTAGAAGACCCCCGTTGACCCCACTGGCCTTTCTGTGGAGTCTTCATGTTCCCTCTGTGGGTTCTCCGGATGGATAGATGGATGGATGGATGGATGGATGGATGGATGGATGGATGGATGGATGGATGGATAGATAGATAGATGTCTATAAAAGCCTTTTTTCCTTATAGCATATCTTTAGTTTTAATTGTATTTGGCGTGGAAGTGGGTGACCTTTTCTGTGNATGGATGGATGGATGGATGGATGGATGGATGGATGGATGGATGGATGGATGGATGGATGGATGGATGGATGGATGGATGGATGGATGGATGGAAGAACATGGACTGGTTAAAGCTTGTGCTGGGTATCATCAGTGTGTTACCGTCTCTCCAGACTGAAGCACAGCAGCCATCAGTGGACTGTCAGAATGTGTTACACACACATTCATGGGCCCTATAGAAGAAATCCCAGCGAGTTCGGTGGCTCTCTGACTTTCAATCCACTGTTGTGATCAGGTCAGAGTTATAACTTGTTCAATACTACGAGTTTATACCAATTTATTTTGCAAAACTGATTAAACCTTTCTGCCTCCGTTGTACCTTAGTTTGGTTCTAATTAGCATGTTAGCAAGCTAACGGCTTCATCTAACCTGCCTTTAGCTACGTCTTATTATATGGATGGATGGATAGATGGATAGATAGATAGATGGATGGATGGATAGTTGGATAGATAGATAGATAGATAGATAGATAGATAGATGGATAGATGGACAGATGGACAGATGGACAGATGGACAGATGGACAGATAGATAGATAGATAGATAGATAGATAGATAGATAGATAGATAGATAGATAGATAGATGTCTATAAAAGCCTTTTTTCCTTATAGCATATCTTTAGTTTTAATTGTATTTGGCGTGGAAGTGGGTGACCTTTTCTGTGACACTCTGACATTCTTCCTACAGCTCCTGCTACTGATTCTGTCATTTTAATTAAAAGGTTTTGCAGCAGCCTTCTTTCAAAGCACTTGCTCTTCTTATATTTTAAGGTATGTCTATGCTTCATGTAGAAAAACTCCCAGTAATGTTTATCAGGTCACCACTGAAGAGCAGCTCCATCTTAAAGCTTGAGGAAGGTGCAGCCGGCTGCAGGACCGGCTGACACAGATCCGGCAGAAACACTTGTTGTTCTCACTGGGTTTTGTTTCCTCCTGCTGAAAGCTGAGATCCAACACAGAGCCACTGAAGAGACGGAGTTTGTAGGTATAACGTTGTGAGACACAGGAGGAAGCGTGATGCCAGGACAGAAGGATGGCCTGTTTGTAGTTCTGGTGACACATACAGTATGAACCCAGAACATGATCCGTTCTGCCGGGGCAATGAGGCAGAGATATCTTCTTGTTTTACTGCAGACATTTGCACTGTGAGCTGCTGTGCGTTCAACACTGTCAGTTTACGGCTGCTGAGCGTCTACGTGATGCCATCTGTGTTCATGTTGGTGTGTATATACTAAAGACACTTAACCTACTTCTAATGTTGATTAAAAAAAACTGTTCTGTTACTACTATGACCAGCGCTTCATAAAACACAAACACAGAGCAGATGATTGATTCCTGCTCCACACTGTTTCCACTCACAGACACAGATATCGTGATTAGTGGTGCAGCAGAATGCATACGACAGAAATGTCCATGTTGCTTTATTGCCATAAGATAAATACTGTGATGGTACCAGATATTTATGTTTAGGGAACACTGTGAGCTCATACCTTCTGTTTTGAGGGCTGCACCAGCTTCAATGGGAATGACAAGCAGGGGGAAGACCCCACTGAGGCCCACAGCAACAGAGCCCACCAGGGACAGGAGCCACACATGAGCATGTTCACTGGCTAGGAGGTCTGCTAACGCCTGGAGGCCCGGGAGGTCATCTGTCAGCCCGGGGCCTGGTCCCGCAGCCGCGGCTGTCGCATGAGCCATCGCCGTTTGTGTCATCTTGTGGCTGCTTGATCCCCCTCTGGAGGTCAACATCAGCAGGGTAACGGGGATAAACAGAGCAGCTACAGCCCAGCTGGGCCTCCGACAGCGTCCACCGTTCATCCGTCCCACGGTCCAAAGAGCACTTGCAGCCAGTAATGCTGTAAGAGAAGCACACCTTGAGACAGACGGCCTCTCCTGCAACTTTCAAACTGTCTCAAACAGACGTTATATAAAACTGCTAATCTGAAGCCCACAGCAATGTCTGCAGATTTACTGCGTTTTCTATTATTAAATACAAGACAAAACATTCGAGACGCATTTTTGCATGAAAAACGAGTTGAACAGGAAGCAGACAGTCGACAGCGTTCATCATGACATAAAACAACAGAACCACAGCGTACAGGAGGTGCTGTAACCCGACCGACAATGGATCTGAGAGGTTAAACACTGGCTGGTACAGACAGGTGTGAAATGAAAGGAAAAACCTGCATAAGGACGACAGAACACAATGAAGGCACATCCTTTCATGCAGGTGCACGTTATTCTCTTCTCTTCTATTCACTGCACGATGCAATAAAACATTGGATCATACTCTGTGGGAAACAGTGAGCGGCTCCAGTTCTGATGGTCCATAAGGAACGCAGCAGGAAAAGCTCCCAGTGCCGCTGAAGGACGGTTCATGTTGAGGCACGGCTGGCAGGAGCTTCGGTCAGCAGGACGACTGGACAGCGTGTCAACAGGAAGTACAGGGACGTCTTCATTCAGAGTTATAGGAGCCAGTGGGGTCACACACTGTGGTCAGCGGTGCACATTTAAAGATCATAACGCTCATGAGTTAGAGCGATCTATGAACAACAAGAGAGGAGAATCTGAGAAAGTCAGTGCAGGAGGAGCTCAGGCTGTCAGCAGGAGGCGTCTGTTGATGACATGGTGAGGGATGTTATAGCAGGCAGCACATGAAGTCCTCGTTAGGAAGATGAACATACGTTTAGTGGAGCAGAAACCACAGGCAGTGGTCTGCACAGACGTAGGAGAACGCTGTATGGTCAGATGAGTCATCCTTCACCACAGTAGACCTACAATGAGAGGACGTGATGCTCTGGGGGGCTTCTGCTGGCACAGACTGGGTCCACGTGTCCCCGTCAGTGGACGGGTCACTGCAAGTCAGTACCAAACGGTTCTGAGTGACCCCCTTGATTAAACATTTCTACCTTGATTGGACTGGTCTCCTTCAGGATGACAATGGCTCCATCCACAGGGGAGAATCATGTCCTACGACTTCTCCTTCAGCACCATCCAGCCAGAACTCAGTGGCAAACTGGACCACGTGGGAGTGAGCCACCAGCTGGCATCATGGCTCCTGGACTTCCTGACCAACGGGCCACAGTGTGAGGACCAAAGGCTGAGTGTCTTCAGCAGGGGGGCGCCTCAGGGAACTGTTCTGGCTCCTCTCCTGTTCACCATTTGTCCACCGACTTCACTGAGACCGACTCTGCCATCGTTAGTCTCATCCACTACGGAGACCAGAAGGAGTATCGAGGCCTAAACCAGAACTTTGTGGCCTGGTGAGAGCTGGTGGCTGACTTTCACCGACACAAAGTCCCGTCCCCCCATTTATCACGGGACAGGTTGACAACAAGGATCAGTTCTAACGGAAAACATCCTCAAATAACACATTTACACACAAAAACTAACACAACTAAAGGACTGGTCCTGACCCACATGCAATCAAGTAAGCAGGTAAAAGGTGCCCTGAGCCTGACTGGAGCTCAGGTACAGGCTCAGGGTGGACGGACTGGACCTGGTATCCCAGACAAAAGCCCTGCATCGGCCCCAGGAGAACCCTGAGCCACGGTCATGGAGGTGGTGACTAATAAAGTCCGTCTAAGTCAGGATCCTGGGTGTGTTCAGACCACGAAGCCAACAGGTCCTGTGCAGAAACCAGGTGAGAGTGATGGAAGGCCGCGATGAAGGTCTGATCCAGCTAGGGGGCGCACTAGAGTCTGTATGTTCATGACAGTCAAAGCTGGACATTATTTCCCCTCTCATCCATCATCTGTGTTGGATGAGAGGAAGCAGCTCCTCAGTGGTACTGATGAAGTGTCTATTGCCAGCACATACATCTGTATCTATAGATGGATATTCCAGCGCGTGCAGTGTCCTGTAGACCAACACATCTGTCACGCGCTGTCGGCCAACCTCTCAGAACCGAGCCATGCATCAGTCTGCTTTAGATCACAGTAGCGAACAAACCTTTGCACACACTGGACTCAGCAGGACGGGTAGAACAGCCCCAGAACTTCTCAGTCACTCCTTTAATCTCCCAGCAGACCTGTTGGCACTCATGCTGGTAAAAGTTGAGCCGTGGCAGGACCACAGAGCTCCAGAACCAGAACACGGACCGCGGTCCACGCCTCAGACTGGAAAGTTTCACACTGAACAGATTCCAGGTGTTTATGAGCAGGTCCACGTCCACAGCTGGTGTAAAACTAACGGAACCACCCTACAGAGGAAAACTCAAACTGACGGCTACCAGTTAGCAGCTAGCGTTAGCCCGCGGAGCCGCTACGGCGCTAGCTCACAGCCCGCTAACGGCTACCCGCTGCTAGCATCACTTCGCCAAACTTACTGCCGTCGACCCCGGACAAGGACCCAGAGGACCCAGAGGACCCAGAGGAACCGCAGGGGGCAGATAAACGCTCAACAACAGCCTGGACGTGGCGTCCTTATCTCCACCTACCTTGTGATTTCGGCAGTCTGTGCACCAGTGTGTCCCTGCCATCCAGGCCGGCTTGATGGAGGCAGGCTTCCGCTGAGCTGCTCCGCGCTCCAGCTGCTGCGGACAGGATCCGGTCGCTGCAGCGCCCCAGTAGCTGGTCCCGGCCACCGCGGCTTCCCCCGAACAGCCACGTATCAGGATCCAGGAGGAGAAACACAGACAGCAGAGGAGGCACAGCAGTGGTCCCGCCCCGCCAGAGACCAGGAAGTAACTTCACTGCCCCCCCAACCCAGGACCCCGAACCTGACCCACATCCACACTAAACCCAGGAGGTTCTGATCAGCTGTGTCTGTGTTTCACTGTGGAGATTATAAATTACACAAGAGCTTCAGGAAAAGCGAGTGGCCGTTATTGTCTGTTTCCCTTTTCTTTTTTGTTTAATCTCTAAGACTAGTGCAGACACACACACACACACACACACACACACACACACACACACACACACACACACACANACACACACATATATATATATATATGGTGTCGGTATATATCACGTTTTAAACACCCGAAGCTGAAAACATGCTGCAGGTTATCAGACAGGCAACAACAAAACACATGTGCACAATCCATGAAATGCAAGATGAAGACACCTGAAACCAGTGAAGTAAAACTAAACAAAATAAATATATAATAGTAAAAAAAAAAACAGAAAAAAACAAGAAAGAAAAAATCAAAACAGGGAAACCAAAAAAATAAAAATCCTAATAAAACAAAATAAACTGGGACCCTGATGCTCATCAACGTCCCAGTGTGAACCCAGGAGATGTTTAAAAGATCAAATAAAAGTCACATCAGGTTTATAGTCTGTGTTTGTGCAGGTTGTCAGTCGGGGTAATCCCCACAGTGTCAGAGGAAGGGAACCGAACTTCTCTTTTCGGTTTCACCTCATCCAGGAGGCTTCTTCTGCTCTAACTGACAGAAGGGGGTTCCCATTATATTTATATTAATATTATTATTGTTATTATAAATCATGTATGGAAACAGCCTGATTTAAGGAAAGTGCTTCAAATGTTATAAGGAAACAACAGAAACGTGCAGAAAGCAGGACATGCATGATTAAGATTCAGACCAAACAACAAGACCAAGTTCTCAAATAAAATAAATCTAATTACGTTTATTTCTGGATTTTTCAGTCACTTTCTTTCTGGTTTCTCCGTTCATCCAGCTGACTTCTGGGAGGATTCAGACGTATATTATTATAATTATCATTATTATACAGCAGCTGGTGTTCACCTACACAGACCCAAATACAGCAGAGGCTCCAACTAAGATGTGCTATCTGTGTGTCTGTAAAAATAAACCAACCTGAGAACTGCTGCAGCTGTTGAACCCCTGGACTTCTGCAGAAGGAGCCTGTATGTAGGTCACACGGCTCACCTGGATGTTCTTCACTCTTCTTTGGTATTTTCTGTTTGTTGTTGGTGTAATGTAATATCTCACTCTCTAGTACACAGTTTCTGAATCCCAGAAAACAGCCTGCAAATGAGTCCAGTAGCACTGATATATATTCAGTGAATGCGCTGTCCTGTGTGTTTATCCTATATTAGGACATAAACCGTAGTTTATTCAGATGCTGTGTAGTGTCAGGATGGATTCACAGGCACATTTAATGTCAGACAGTGGGAAGAAAAGGTTGTCTTTTTATACAGTGGATGTAAACTCTGGCTTCGACCATACATACTTAACTAAAACCTAATTAAAAACAACCTCTATTTGCTCCTCGTTGTTCTCTTCAGTCTGCCAGCTTCCCACCAACCCTGGACTTGTGCAGACAGTGGACTCAGCGCTGAATATGTCCTTTTTATGATCCTGAAAGAAAACAAAGACAAACGACAGGAGAAGGGTGGATGCTCAGAAAACAGGAATGGCAATAAAATGAGGAATCAGGGACATTGTGAACACAGTACAGACAGAGATAGAGAGAGAAGAAGAACACACAGCCGTGACTCGATGATCCGACACTAAATGTAAAACCTTCTTCTATGTCGGATATCAAGGCTGTTGGATTGTCCAGACGGAGGTCCAGATACGAGGAGGGCTTGATGCTGGAAGGCTCATTAGTTGTTCATTATTGTTCATAGTTGTTATAATAACTCGTGTGTTGTTAGAACACGACACATCGCTGGACTTCAGCCTAACTGACCGGTTTGTGCACGTTCTGACCACTTCCACCCCGGGGCAGCGCTCTGACGGGGTGGAAGTGTCCAGAACACACAGGCAGTACTTGGCTGCTGATGCTAGTTTAGTTAGCGCTCACACTTCTGTTTCCTCCATCGGTGGCGGCGGGGGAGTGGCAGATACGCTCCACCGTTACCATCCATGTTTACTTCCATAAACACTGAGCACGCTCGCTGCGTGTGACGTCGTCGTGTCCTCTTCTGCGCATGCGGGACACTTTTGGCTCGTATGAAGTTCACAACTGCACAATTTTTTAAAATAAATTTTATTAATGTTCCCAAAACATTAAAATCAATTCAAAATCAAATTTCTTATATTTCTATGAAAAGAGGAACCAACCAAAGGAACAGAACAGACCAGTAGCATCAAAACGTCCCTAAATCACTGAAATAAATCATCACAGTCGTCCTTCCAGCAGCCTGTGAGCTCCTCTGCATCACGCTGTTCCTGCATCGTCCTGGTTCTGCTTTAACTCCATATGAAGCTTCAGACAGTGAATCCTGACATGTTTTGGGGTTTTTATATAATCCAGGTCATTAGTTTTTTCTTGGTGATGCTGTGACACACGTGCACGTTTCTACATACGGATGGAACTGATTTCCAGGAAGCCTTCAGCTGAAATGACTGTTAACTGATTATTGATGAATATAAATGAGTCTGCAGTAAAAATAGTTTTTACGATGAAGATTTTTATTTTTTTAAACAGTGCTCTCAGTGTCTTGCTGCTGTTCTGGTCTTCAGTGATTGTAAATGGAGTGATTATTGGGTCGGTGCAGCAGAATGTACTGTCTGTGTGGATCTTCATTCCTGGATGTTGTCGTTACCTTCACACATGTCCAGTTCATATATGTGCTGTACATATTCTACGTATTCATCTTCAGTGTCTTTGAAACAAAAAGATCCTGATAAGTACTCTCTAATCTGATCTCAGATTAAATGCTTTTAGGAATTAAAGACATGCTGACGTGTCCCAGTAGGAACAGTTCTGGTGAACGATAAAACCAACAGGGTCAGACCTCCATCCTTCATGTTCAGAGTCGTCGCGATCCCGTGGACCCGGTGACGAGTTGGTCGTCGTGTTGTGCACGTTGGCTCACGGTGACACATTCAGGCTTTACCGGGGCACTAAAACAGACCCGTTTACTCGTTATAGTCGCGCCTCTTCTTGCTCTGATGAAGGAAAATGTCTGTTTCACTTTAGGAATTACACCAAGCCATCTCTGCAGTCTGTCTCCTTTAAAGTCACAGCTCTGACCGAGGTGTAAAATGCCGTTGAAGTCGTATAAGTAGCTCTACTATTTTCGGGCAAAGCAGTAAAAGCTGAGTGTTCTCATGCGAGCAGTCGGAGCAGCTCGGGGGAGCCGTGAAGCCAAAGGACAGCGACCGAGGGAGCAGCAGAGCCGGAGGGAAGCCGTCAGCGGCTGCCTGACCTTCTCTGTCTTGGTGTGACGCTGCATCGCTGACATCTTCTGAGGCACACATTTAATTTGACATGTTTGATTGTCTTCACGTTGACTTTCTTTGACTCAGAGGCGTCTTGGCTGAACACAGAACCCTGAATGTTAAAGCCATCAGAGCAGCCTGCTGACACACAGAACAAACCTGAACACCAGTCGTCAGTGAACAGAACCACGATATGATCCCACGGGCCTCGTTACAGTGTCCTGTTAGATGTGAGCTTCAACACAATGACACGATGCATGTTGTGGTGGGCGTGTTGGGGAGGATGGAGAAGGACCAGAGTGAAGCCAGTTCCTCCTCCTGTGTGTGTTTGTCTTGTACTAACTGATCCTCACACTCAGCTCTGTGAACCACTGCTGTAGGCCTTTGGGTTGTTTTAAACATGCAATGTGGTCTGAAAGTTTCTCCGTTCAGCCTTTGAGGCTCCATGTGTAGGTTTTACATGCAGTCCATAAAATGTGAGCAGAATTCGATCAGACACGAAAAAGAAACTGAATTTTACTGTTTTCTCTAAAAGCTCATCAAAAATATACATCAACCTGGAATTATGCCCTACATGTTGTACTTTTTACATCCCTTGTGGGTTTTTACTACAAAATCAAAAGTCAAGCTTCAAAACAAAACTATAAAACCGACGTTGAAGGTTCCCGGTGGAGCTCTGGGTGGATGCTAATGCTAATGCTAATGCTAATGCTAATGAAGCTATGATGTCCTGCTGTGTTGATGAGCTGCACAAATGAGACGTTTCTGATTTTATTTGTGACAGAAATAAAATAAACACGACAACATTGTGCTTCTATCCACGACTCTAAGGTTAGGGTTTGAAATAAAATCCCTTTTGACAGGATAAATAAATATAGCATTCTGTTAGAGAGTGAACCAGTGGTCTGTAGACTGGTTGGCCGGTGACCACTAAACAGCAGCGATCACGTTCAACACGCTGGTCAGCTGTCTGCATCTCCACAAAGAATAAAAACCTCCTGTAACGGTTAAATAACTGAAGTCTAATGAGGTCAAATTCAATCTTATATCACAAAGAAGGCAGAAGTCAGAGAAAAATCGAGTCAAATCGAGGTTTGTGTTGCAGAACGGCGCCGCTGAGCCGATCAGCTGTACAGAGTAAAAACACGGAGCCACAGACGGACGCTTTAACGATCTGAACAACATTTACTGACAGTAAAGAACATAAACACGTCCTCAGACCGTATCCGCTCTAAAGCAGTGAACCAGTGATTCTGATCTGGTTTAAACGTCTGGGCCAAGAAGGTCCACAAGTGTTGCAGCTCCTGTGGTGGGATCCCTGCGTGGTCAGCTCTCCACCACCTCTGGAGGAGCCCAAGTCCAGCTGAGCAACAGGCTGCCCTAATAAGCTGCCTCACCAGCAGGGGGTGCAGGTGACAGGGCTTTACTGCATAAATCATGGAGTGACATTTGCCCTGACAACTGTCAAGCCATTATCTGGCCAGAGCAATGAAATGACCTTCTGGCTTGTGTCTCAGGTAACAGGTAGCCGTCCTGACCCTGACCCAGACCCAGACCCAGACCCTGACCCAGACCCTGACCCGACCTGGTCTGCCATCGCCGCTCACCTCCTGAGGTTAACAGTAAAAGGACTGAGGTGTGTAAAGGCATTGTGAACAAGCTGCAGGGTGGATCATAACCTACATGTTCAGGTGTATTTGCTACTATGATGATCAGTGAAATAAAAAATGGTTTAAAACCCACGACGGACAGTCTGAGCGCTTCTCAGCAGCCCTGGGTTGAAGTTAAACCGTCGATGTGTCGCAGGAACAGTCGAAGTCAAACCAGTGTTTAAGTTCTCAGTTTTTTTTAAAAATAGCCTAACTGTGGCTCGGACAGGCGGACTTAGCAGAGCGAGATGTGAAGATAACGCACAAAAAAAACATGATTAATATCCGCACTGAGTCATCCTAGTCTGACTTGAGCAATACATAAGAATAAAGAAAGAGGAACTTGGTTGTTTGGTGTGACAGAGGCCCAAAGCCTTATAAGGCTGCCTGTCGGTGGATGTGGGAGCGTTTCCCTGATCAGTCTGACAGCAAAAAGGTTAAAAAGAAGGTTAAAAAGAAGCAGTCTGACAGTAAAAAGGTTAAAAAGAAGGTGAAAAAGAAGCAGTCTGACAGTAAAAAGGTTAAAAAGAAGGTGAAAAAGAAGCA